ATACACCGATCTTAAGGTCTCGCCTATCCATTAAATCCAGATCCAGTTCCATCTCTTAAAACATCTCCCAGAATCCCTCTCAATTGGAAGTGAGATCTCTCGGCCATATATTCTCATAGCACTTGGGTTTGCTTGACCGTTGACAGCATACATAACTACCTGCCTGATGTTGGAGTGGCTTACAAAGGTTTCACTGGGCCACTAGATTGATTGAACCACTCAGGAGTAGGAGCTAAGCACCACCTTTCCATCACCAATAGAGCCTAACACAATGAACACAGCAGTTCCACGTTGAACAGTTGGCTTCTATCATTGCCAACAAATAGAACCACCTGAGTCGCCTTTTCCTAAAACCAGAGAGGCTGCCTTTGGGCCCATCCTGTGCATCTGTGGGAGACTAGTAGGTATAAAACCTACTGCAGTCTTAGACATTTTCATCAGCGGTAGCAAATTGTGAGAAAAACATGGAACACACACTCTAGAAACACTGCAAATCACTAAGTCCATAAAGGCTAAAACCCCCTGAATGAAATACTCAAATTTTAAAATTTTATGATTACAGTCTCACATTATAATAAAATGTATTGTCCCAGATTTTAATTTATTCTGAAGAAAGACTGGTTCTCTGGTCTGTTCTAAAAAGTTTACTGTCAAAACTCCAAAATTTCATTAAAACTGTAAATGGATTTGCTGAAAGCCAAAAGGCAGAATCTATCAAATTACTTGATGTGAACCTGTCCATAGGACATAGAATATTGAAAATAATATATTCCGTTTAGAAGAGACTTTTAAGAGAATCTAATTTAGGCAGTTTGGCTCTTGAACCTGATACACGTATGTTATATAATATTGACCTAGAGTCTAATTACCACAAGAACGCCTACTCTTAAATGCAGTTGAGGGGAAGAGATCATAGCTGGCTTTATTATGTTTTTAATGTTTATTTATTTTTGAGAGCAAAAGAGAAAGACTATGTGCGTGCAGGTTAGGGGCGGAGGGGGTGGGGACAGAGGATCTGAAGCAGGCTCTATGCTGACAACAGAGAGCATGATGCGGGGCTCAAACTCATGAATCTGTGAGATCATGACCTAAGCCAAAGTCAGACATTCAACCGACTGAGACGCCCAGGAGCCCCCAGATCATTTTAAAGAAACATTATTTTATTTAAATGCTTGCATCACATCTGGTCGTAAAATACATGACTTTAGAATCAAATGGCGCGGGTTCCAATTTCAGCTATGCTACCTCCCAACTGGATGATCCTGAGAGGAGTCATACTTGACCTCTATGCACCTCCATTTCCTCATCTAAAAAAATAGAGGAAACAATGGAACCTACTTATATGGCTGTCAGAAGGCTTGAGATAATCCACGTCAAGTACTTGGAAAAGTAGCTGGGACATAGCATTTTAATTACTATTTGCTTTTACTTAGCAGTCATAATGCTAGTACTATCTTTCTCTTTATTGTTATCACTGTTTTTATGTAAGGTGCTTAGCAGAACACCTTGCTCATAATAAGCGCACAATTAACTCTACTCACTGTCATTATTGTTGTTGCTATTATTATTAGCTGGCAACAGTTATATCCCTTCAGAGACCCAAGATGTATTGTTAAAGTTGAGTCTAACAATATTCAACAAAAAACAAATCAAATATTCAGTGAACCAATATTATAGCAGGCCAGGAGTTTACACATTTATCTTTCCATCACCCTTTATAGTGCTACTTGTTCCAATGAAGTAGAAAAAATTATAGTGGTTGTCCTTCCTGAAGTTTAAAAAAATAATTGGCTGTGAGGAAGCTCTGGATTAGTTATAACAAACTGCCATCTGGTCTTATATATCTGCTTGTCTAAGGAGGCTATCTGTCCTTAGAAGTCCAGTTAAAGCAAGTCAGAACCTCACAGTTTTTAAAAGCAAGGGCTCATTACTAAGGCTTCAGTAAATGAATCGTGAAAACACGCAACTAGACAGCTGAGGATTTTGGAAAGAGTCCCGTCGAACCGCTCCCCGAGCTAGTATTTTTATAATGTGAAAACACTGAAATATTCTCTATTACATTACTGTGAGTCTTTGGAATAAAAAAAAAAATTAGAGAATTTTCCACGTTTTGGACAGCACATCAAGCATCACATATACTGCTATCCTAAGAAGAGAATCTAAATAAAACAGGACTATACAGATTGTAACGTACTTTAAATTTGACCTTGATTTTGTCTTTCAGTTGTTATAAATAATCACAAATTCATCATTGTAGGTAGAGGGTAGAAGCGATTCAAAGGTTTGTATTTGTCACCCTCCAGGAAGGCCTCACCGTCCCACGAGTCACCTGGCAGGCAGGTGGATGCAGCCTGGTGGCTGAGTATAGAACCCAGCAGCAGAGAGAAGCTGGATCTCAGACTGCACTCACCGGTCCAGCCCGCACAAAAACTCTCAGGACGTTGTGTGGCTTCACAGATGCAGTCAGATGGTACCTAGGAGTGAATACCAGGCCAGAGCACTGAAGGGGCCATAATTTTATGTTCGTGCAATTCTCCAGCCACATGACACAAGCCTTAATGACAAATCTCTGTAAAGGCTGGAAGGCGGTGAAGCTAAAATTTCTTGAGACTCTGCAAACGATTTGAGTAGGGACTGTCTTAACAGTAGACCCCTGTGGTGACTAGGGGAGTTTCATCTAAAAATATGTATTCTACCACCAATTGTACATTTTTTATTCCTAATTCTTGAAGGTTTCTTTCCTTTAAGAATCCCTTTCAGGGGCACCTGGGTGGCTCAGGCTATTGAGTGAGTGTCTGACGCTTAGTTTTGGCTCAGGGCATGATCTCACGGTTCTTGAGTTTGAGCCCACATCCGGCTCAGTGCTCACAGTGGGGAGCCTGCTTGGGATTCTCTCTCCTCTCTCTCTGCCCCTCGCCTCCTGTCTCTCTCTCTCTCGGTCTCTCTTAAAATAAATAAACTTAAAATTTTGTTTTAAAGAATCCCTTTCAAAATATCTTTCCATTAAAACTTTCAACGCTCCAGAATTGCTTTAAAAACTAAAGATAAAACTACCCTATGTCCCAGCAATTGCACTACTATGTATTTATCCAAGGGATACAGGTGTGCTGTTTTGAAGGGGCACATGCACCCCAATGTTTAGAGCGACAATATCAACAATAGCCAAAGTATGGAAAGAGCCCAAATGTCCATCAAGGGATGAATGGATAAAGAAGATTTGGTACACACACACACACACACACACACACACACACACACACACACCTATATATAGGAGTATTAGTTGGCAATCAAAAAGAATGAAATCTTGCCATTTGCAACTATGTGGATGGAACTGGAGGGTATTATGCTAAGTGAAATTAGTCCGAGAAAGACAAATATCATATGACTTCACTCATATGAGGACTTTAAGACACAGAACAACTGAATATAAGGGAAGGGAAACAAAAATAATATAAAAACAGGGAGGGGGACAAAACATAAGAGACTCTTAAATATAGAGAACAAACAGAGGGTTACTGGAGGGGTCATGAGAGGGGGATGGGCCAAATGGTTAAGGGGCATTAAGGAATCTACCCCTGAAATCACTGTTGCACTATATGCTAACTTGGATGTAAATTTAAAAAATAAAAGAAAAAAAAATAAACGTTCAATACTCCAGGCTGCATCTCAGGATCTCTGGGGGGTGGGATCTAGGTATCGGTAGTTTTTCCAAATTTCAATTTCAATTTCATTTTCAATTTCAGCCAAGATTGAGAAACACTGTAAGCTTATCATTGTAATCCCCTCTTTCCATGATTAGCAATAAACATGAGACCTGATCTTTATCAAGGCATTAGAAGAAGTTTCTTGGATGGCTGCTGACCATGACAAAAATCAACTGAAGGGTGAAAATGACTTTGAAGACATCAAAGAAAAATAAAGAGCTTGAGCCCTTGATGACATCTTTGAGCCACTGTATTACCTACTCTAGAGCCTGACCCACTGCTGGGTCTCTTGTAGAATGGAAAAAATAATAAACATATTATTGTTTAACATAGATGATTCGTTGCATAGACAGATAGATAGATAGGTAGATAGATAGATGATAGATAGATTGTAGATAGACAGATAGGTAATCTCTTTCTGAAAAATGTTTACGAGGAGGTTAAGTCTTAACCCAATACTTGCTCGTGTCTTAATCATCAATTCATAACCAAGCAGAGATTAGTAACAAGCCACCTGGAAGTACAAATGACATTCGTGATAGAGTCTTTCCTGAACAGAAGCTGAAGAGTTGGTAAGCCAAATGGGAAATTGGGAATTGTAAAGGCACAAAGCAGTACTGAGAAATAGCAAAGTATCACTGACAAACTGTCTTCTCTACATTCTGCAGAGGGTGATTAAAGTGCTGTCAATCTGCAAAAGAGAGGCTGCTAAGAATTAAAGCAAAAGTCCTGCAGAATCATGTGACACAGTCATTAAATGAAAATTGGTAAAGAAATCTTCGCAAAACCATTATTAGTACAAACAAAAGACAGAGTCTTAAATACAGAGAACTGGTATTTGCTAGAGGGGAGGTGGGAGCCGATCAGTGAAACAGGTAAAAGGATGAAGAGTACATTTATCTTGCTGAGCACTGAGAAATGTATGGAATTGTTGACTCATTGTATTGCACACCTGAAACTAACAGAACACTGTAGGCTAATTATACTTCAATTTTTAAAAACATGATCATGCAAATCTAAAAACATTAAGAACTTTGCTTACCATTTCTAATATAACATTTCCTTTTTAAGTATACCTGTAAAGATCCTGCCCTGCTCATATTCTTTTACATTGAGGATTTGTCAAAAATCCTTGCATATGCATCTATCATCATGAGTTGAGTCGTTGGCAACTGTAAGAAAAGTCATTTGAAATATGATTTTATAGGGTAATAGCAATCTATTCTCATGGAGGAGGCTCTGAATGTTCCTCAACATCTTTCGGGCACCCATGAACATCTCAGCATCTCTGACTATGAGAAAAAGTTGGTAATATGTATTTATTAAAGGAAATCTCAATTTTCTTTAATTTTTTCTTTTGTCAATGTAAACTGGCTCTGAAGATGGGAGGAAACAATAGCTTCTCATTTCCAAATGTATTGTCAACTCGTGTAAATTTCTACCTATCAACGCAAGATCAAGAAAGTGAATGTTAGAGGATTAGTTAACTATCAACAACGTCGATTTGGTTCCAGTTTGCAGACCCCAGTTTCCAGATAGGTAGTATCAGAAGAATGTTAACTGTGACGGTGAAAACAAATCCCTATTCTCGACTTTCTTCTTTTATTCTTCTTTTATTTTTTTTATTCTTTGTTGGACTTCCTTTATTCTTACACTTTCTTTACCCCAGGCTGACCCCTGTCTGTCCCTCGGTTTGATTTCTCTATTTCATGTCTCCTATCTCCCCTTTCTACTCTCTCCTTTTCAAGTTTCTTGGTTTTGTTTACGACTCTCCTCTTTAAAGCCACCCTCTGCTTCTCCAGTCCTGCCTTTGTCACCAGTACCCCACACTTCCCCCCCCCCATTCTCTCCCTACCTCCTCACCCTGGCATTCAAGGCCTGCCAAGGTTGACCTGTTGGAGAAAGGTGGACTACCTGAAGCCAGAGTCTTACTTCACCTCATCTTGACTATCAAAACAATCATTCAAGGGTGAGTAGAGGCAGCTAAGCTTGGAATTTCAGTAACTTCATGAAACAACCTTCCCAAGACGCAAACCTAATCAGAGCCTCATGTTTATGACAGAAACAAATGCTTTTGTAAGGTGTCAGGAATTTATCACCAATGAGTACCCCCTCCTGGGAATGGGACTCCATTTATCATGTCAGACTGTTTAAATTGGGATTAAAAAAAATCCCTGGGGGCTATGTTTTAAAGAGAAGAGGAAACAAAAACATCTAAGTAATACAGTGTAATTCAAAGAGGAAAAGGGAAGTTGGAATAATTATGGACTGGAAGCAGAACTGAGTTGTAATCAATTACCTTGGAATCTAGCTAGAGGGTGCTATAGCATGCATGCGGCTATTTGTCAAAGCATAGTAACTGCATGGAAATCACTTGTCAAACAGATGTTTCATATTTTTTAGGGTACAGGACTCTGCTGGGAATTCAACAGAACATCATAATTAGAATTATTTAAAATCTGACTCTTCCGAGAGTGATATTTTGCCTCCTGGAAAAAAAGGTGTCCATGAATATTCATTACATACATTCTTTGACCTTTAACGTGGGACCATCGATATTCATATTCAGCGGTGTCATCATTCTGAAATCTTTTCTTTCTTTTTTAAACCTTGCTCATTAACCAAGAGTATCAGCGTGTTCTGTGTATTTGCAAAATTCTTTAGCAGAGACAACTGCTTTAAAAAAATCCCAAGTATCATTGGGATTTACACCATTCTGCCAGAAGCTTCTCTTTGATCAAAACTGGCAGGGGTCCAGCTGACTTGTCAAGAAATGTTTCCCTCTTTCCAAATTATTCGATTTCAAGTGGGGCAAATGCAAATACATAGTTCAGCTCCTTTACATTTCACACAGGTAGCCAGGTCCTAACAACTTCATAGCTAACTTTTGCAATGTGTTACTAATTTAATTGTTTACGTCTTTTCCGGTATTTTGAAGTGCCAAGATAAGCCACTTTCATAAGCAAGCCCACTAAAGAGAAGATTACTCTCTTCTATTCTCATTTCATCTCATCCGTATTAATGCTCCAATTTCTACTTTCAGAAACTGGACAAAAATGATAGAATTGCCTTTTATATTCAGTATCTGAGCAACTATACCCCATAATTAAGCTGTATGGTAAATATCATGCGTACGTATCTATATATTCGTGCTCATGCACAGTGTACATGACTACTTCAACTTTAAGAAAAACAGTAAAATTGAGATGTGTATCATTTGTAGGGCAGATTTTCCATCTTTTTTTTTTTTAAGTTTATTTTCATGTATTTTGAGAGAGAGCAAGTTAGGGAAAGGCAGAGAGAGAGGGAGACAGACTCTCTGCGGTCAGCACAGAGCCCGATGTGGGGTTTGAACTCAGAAACCGTGAAATCATGACCTGAGCCAAAGTCAAGAGTGGGATGCTTAACCCACCGAGCCATGCAGGCACCCCTCCACCAATTTGTTTAGAACTCTGGAATTCCAAGAAGTGGCACTTAAGCTAGTATGTCACATTTAAGTTGCTATTTTATCTTAATCTTCGAGACTTTTTTGGGGGGGTGGGGGAGAGCAAGCACACATACCATGCGAACAGGGGAGGGGCACAGAGGGAGAGAGAATCCCAAACAGGCTCCACCCTGTCAGTGCAGAGACCCTTGCTGGGCTTGAATTCATGAACCATGAGATCATGAACTGAGCTAAAATCAAGAGCCAGATGCTTAACCAACTGAACCACCAGGTGCCCCTTGACTTTATTTTAAAAGCTTCAAATAGACACCTGCCATGGAAGGGAAGAGAGGCTAAAACAAAATGTTTTTCTGGCCTTTTCTGATGGAACTCCCACACAAGCAGATGTTGAAACTGTGTATATTGTAAGCACCTACGATTCCTGTCTTTACGGAAGTATCAATGAGCCAGCTGCACCCCTGCCATCCTGAGCATCCCAGCCATTCCATCCTTTTCCTCATTCATTTCACATTTCAGCACCTGCTATGAGCCAGGCACTGTGCTAGGCAAGGAGAATTCTAAACGAATCCTAAGCAGTCCTCCAAGAACTTTAGAAATTCCCATTTTTAAATGGTGAGGCAGATGCCCAAATAGACCCATAGATTACAATGAGATGAGTACCATGACGGAGATACGCACAGGGTCTGAGTAAGGACAAAAGAAATTCAGGCTCAACAGGCTTCCTGGAGGTGGCAACGCCTGACATAAGCCTTAGCCAAAGACTAGATGTTGACCAGGTAAAAAATCAGTCCCAGTGAAACCTCATTCATACATAAGAGTTCTAAGAAGGAACTCACAAAGACTGTGGGAAAAGAGAAATACTAAAAGAATAAAGCTCCATAATAAATTCCAGTTGGTCCATACACTAATTATTTCCAAATTATGGAAGGCAGAGCACAGTCCTTAAATATCCGCCTAAGGGCTGGATAATATCCTCCACTACTTTTCTAATGTTGGGCAAGCAAATCTTTGAGACTTCTATTCCTCCTTTATAAAAAATATGAAAATTATTACTTATGGTATTATGATAAGTATTTAATGAGTTAATGTACATAAAAATATCAAGCACATTGTAAACATTAATTCCCTACCCTTCTGCCTTCAGCCATGGATATAGCCTAGAATACAGGATACAGCCTAGAATACCCCTGGGCATGAAGAACAATCATGGGAAGAGGGAAGAGTACTGGATGTAAGTCAGAAAGCAGTTCGTGTCCAACTCTACCAGTTACTAAACTCTGCAACTTTGGGTCAGTTAAGACACTTCTCTGAGCTACGTTTAAACTATTATAAGTGTGCCTGGGTGGCTCGGTCGGTTGAGGGTCCGACTTCGGCTCAGGTCATGATCTCACGGTCAGTGAGTTCGAGCCCTGGGTCAGGCTCTGTGCTGATGGCTCGGAGCCTGGAGCCTGCTTCGGATTCTGGGTCTCCCTCTCTCTCTGCCCCTCCCCTACTCATGCTCTGTTTCTCTCTGTCAAAAATAAGTAAACATTTAAAAAAATTTTAAACCATATGAAAATTAAGATAATAAGACCTTCTATGCCCACCTAGACAGGATTGCTGTGAAAAACCAGTGCTTAAATAAATAAATATGACACAGGTTTGATACAGACTGGTTGACAGTATTTTTATTAGGTGGAATGCGTGTGGGTGAGAGAGAGACAAATGCCGCTAGAAAAGTGAATATATTTGGACCCTTTTGCTCTAGAATCAAGGTCAAAATAAATGTTATTTTAATTTTTTTTTAATGCTTATTTATTTTTGAGAGAGACAGAGACAGAATGCGAGTGGGTTAGGGGCAGAGAGGGAGGGAGACACAGAATCCAAAGCAGGCTCCGGGCTCCAAGCTGTCAGCACAGAGCCCGACGCAGGGCTCGAACCCATGAACCATGAGATCGTGACCTGAGCCGAAGTCAGATGCTCAACCAAATGAGCCACCAGGGCCCCCCAAAATAAATGTTATTTTAAAACACAATGATTTTTAAAGTACAATGCATTAATGAGAAAAAGCTATTTGCATACTACCTAATACACTAACATCATTAATATGGAACAACTCTTAAAATCAGTAAACAAAGAGATAAATACCACAATATAAAAATCACCAAAATATGAGTCACAATTTTAGTAAAAACAAAATACCTGAATGGCTAAACTGTGAAAATTTGACCAAATTTTTTAGAAATCCAAATGCAAATTAAAATAAGTAAAATTTATCAAATAAGTAATATAAGTAAGCAAAATGACTATAATCCCAGTGTTGGCTGATATGTAACGAGGGGATGACTCTGTCACACGTTTGTGGTGGGGATAAAAAACTGAGTCAATCTTCCCGGAATAATGGAATTTAGTAATATTGCTCATGAGCATTTAAAATGTTTTTTATCCAAGTTATTCACTTTTAGATTCACATGCTAAATAAAAATAATAGAGAAGCAATATATTTATGTACAAGAATTTTTTTCAAAGAATTATTTAGCATCATAAAATCAATAATAAGCTAAAAGTCTAACCATGGAGTATTTCATTAATTACGTTGCATTTATACACTCATATTGTATATAGCACCATTAAAAATGTGGTTCTGTTGGTTTATTTAGTATCATGGAAATGTATGGGAAAAACTAGGGAGCAAAACTCAGTTTACATTATCCTAATTTTAATATGCATATATATTTCCTTCTTGAAAAAAAGAAAACAGTGAAATGTTATCAATTCCATCCGTTATCTATCGCTGAGTCACAAATCACCCCAACACATAGCAGCTGAAAAAACATACATGCATTATCTTTCCATTTCCATGAATCAGGAATCCAGGCACAGCTTAGCTGGGATCTCTGCTTCAATCTGTCACAAGGTGATAATAACTTCATTATCAATCAAGCCTTGAGGCCCCTCTGGAGCTTTGGCTGGGGAAGATTCAAGCTCACTTACATGTTTGTTGTTGTCAGGACTCAT